GAAAGAGGAGAGGCACTCAATATATGTTCTCTAGGCCTTTTAGAAAACATGGAGTGGTTCCTTTGGTGACATACAGGCGAATCCACAAGAAAGGTGATATTGTAGACATTAAGGGAATGGATACTGTTCAAAAACGAATGCCCACAAATGCTACCATGGCAAAACTAGAAGAGTCTACAATGTTACCCAGCATGCTGTTGGCATTGTTGTAAACAAGCAAGTTAAGGGCAAGATTCTTGCCAAGAGAATTAATGTGTATATTGATCATATTAAGCATTCTAAGAGCAGAGATAGCTTCCTAAAACGTGGGAAGGAAAAATGACTAGAAAAAGAAGGAAGCGAAAGAGAAAGGTACCTGGGTTCAACTGAAGCACCAGCCTGCTCCACCCAGAGAAGCACACTTGGTGAGAACTAGTGTAAAGGAGCCTGAGCTTCTGGAACCTATTCCCTATGAATTCATGGCATGATGGGTGTTAAAAATAAACTAATCAGGGAAGGGACCAACAGTTGGCCTAATGGCTATGTCACTGGACTCCCATGTAGCCGACCATGGTTCGAGTCCCAGACCCGGTGGCTTAAACTCACACCGGGCGCGTGTGCTTGCGTGCCCAAGATCCCGAGAAGAGAATGGAGAAGGGATTGCAGTATGGCCATCCCCCCTGGGGGGTGATTTCTAGCTATCTCTATCTCTCTGTCTGTCTGGCAAGCACACGTGCCCTATAGCAAAAACCTCTCAAAAAAAGTAAATAAAAATATAAAAAATAAACTAATCAGGGAACAGCAGGTGGTGTGGTGTGATGGTTAGACACTCCCACATGGCTAACCATGGTTTGAGTCCTAGACTTAATGGCTTGCTTTCTCACGTTCTCTCTGGTCAAATTAAATTAAATGAATAAATAAGATTAAATAAACAAATTATTTTAAAATAAATAATCTATGGTCTATAAAAAAAAAAAAATGAATGAAGTGAGGGACCAGCCGATGATAGAATGGTTAAGTCACTGTACTCCCACGTGGTCAACCACAGCTCTAGTCCCAGACCCAGCGGCCTAAAATTCCTGCAAGGTGTGTGTACATGCATACCCAAGATCCTGAGAAGAGAATGGAGAACGGATTGTGGTGTGGCCATCCCTGCTCCGGGAATTCCTTGCTTTGTCTCTTTCTCTCTCTGTCTCTCTGGTGAGTGCACACATCCTATAGCAAAAATCTCTCTTAAAAAAAAAAAAAAAGAATGAAGTGAGCCTATTATTTCAAGAAATACATTGCTGCCCATGATAAAATCCAAACTATCAAGTGAAAATTAGAATTTTAGAAAATATATCTACTTTAGAGCATGACTTTCCAATAATTAAAGACTTTTCTGATAAAATTGGTTAAAATAAAGATAATAGACTTTTTTTTTTTGGAGAGCTTTTTGCTATAGGGCACGTGTGCTCACCAGAAAGACAGAGACAGAAAGCGAGAAATCATCCCCCAGGGGGAATGGCCACACCGCAACCCTTTCTCCTCCCTTCTCCTCTCAGGATCCTGGGCACGCATGCACACAAGCCGGGCATGAGTTTAAGCCACTGAGTCCAGGACTTCAACCGCGGTCAACTACATGAGAGTCCAGCAACGTAGCCATTACACCAACTGCGGGTCCCAAGATAATATAGTTTCTATATGTTTTATGTATAATAAAATGCATTCACCTGCACAAGATCTATATGACTCAGTGAACCAATATTTTCCGAATAACTCGTATCTATTCAAAATGTAATAGCGGGGCAGCAGGTGGCATGGGGGTTAAGGTGCTAGACTCCCACATGGATGACTGAGGCTCAAGTCCCAGACCCAGCAGCTTGAAAATCACGATAAATAGATAAGTATGGGGGCCGGCAGGTGGCGTGATGGTTAAAGTGCTTGACTCCCATGTGGCTGACTGCAGTTTGAGTCCCAGCCCTGGAGACTTGCTTTCTCAATTTCCCTCTGACTCTCTCTGGTGAATGTACTTGCCCTATAGCAAGTTTTAAAAATAATAATGGGGCTGGGGCCAGCAGGTGGCGTGGTGGTTAAGGGCACTGGATTCTCACATGGCTGACCACAGTTTGAGTCTCAGACCTGGCAGCTTGCTTTCTCACATTCTCTCTCTCTCTCACTCTGTCACTCTCTGGTCAAATTCAAATAAATAAATATACAAATAAATAAAGTTAAAAATAATAATAATAATAATAATAATAATGGGGCCGGCAGGTGGCGTGGTGGTTAAGGCACTGAACTCTCACATGGCTGACCACAGTTCAAGTCCCAGACCTCGCAGCTTGCTTTTTCACTTTCTCTCATTAAAAAAACATATATAATAAAATAAAATGAAATAATTCTTTAAAAAAATATTTAAGGAACCAGTAGATAGTGTAGTGGTTGCATCACTAGACTCCCACAGGGTCAACTGCAGTTTGAGTCCTAGTCTGAGCCCTGGATCTGATGGCTTGAGACCCACACTGGGCATGAGTGCAAGTGTGCCCAAAATCCCAGAGAAGGGATTACAGTGTGGCCATCCCCTCCTGGGGGCTAACTTCTTGTTTTCTGTCTCTCCTTTAAATGCACATGCCCTATAGCAAAAGTCTCTTTTTTAAAAATTGGGGGATGGGACCAGCAGTTAGCGTAATGGCTGTGTCGCTAAACTCCCATGTAGTCGACCGAGGTTCGAGTCCCGGACCCGGTGGCTTAAAATTGGGGGGCCAGCACATGGTGTGGTGGTTAAAGGTACTGAACTCCCACATGGCCAACCATGGTTCGAGTCCCATACCTGGTGGCTTACTTTCTCACTTTTCCTCTCTCTCTCTCTCTCTCTGTCCAGCTCTGGTCAAATTACAAATAAATAAAGTTAAATAATTGTTAAAAAAAACTGGGACCGGGAACCAGCAGTTAGCGTAATGGCTATGTCGCTGGACTCCCACATAGTCGACCGCGGTTCGTGTCCCAGACCCGGTGGCTTAAAACTCACGCCGGGCGCGTGTGCGTGCATGCCCAAGATCCCAAGAGGAGAATGGAAGAGAAGGGACTGAGGCGTGGTCATCCTCCCTGGGGGGTGATTTCTCGCTTTCTGTCTCTATGTCTCTCTGTCTGGCAAGCGCACGCTCCCTATAGCAAAAACCTGTCCAAAAAAAAAAAAAAAAATTGGGACCAGCAGATGGCTTGGTGGTTAAGGTACTGGATACTCCCACATGGGTGATCACAGTTCACGTCCCAGATCTGGCAGCTTGCTTTCTCACTTTTCCTTTTCTTCTCTTTATGTCTCTAGTCAAACTAAAAATAAATAAATGAATAATTAATTAATTAAATAATTGAAGAAAAAAATTCAATTTTAAAAACAAAAAGTTCATCAAAAAGGACTCATTGATACTTGGGAAGTCACTATTTGAAGGTGGCACTGGGGATCCTGGAGAACAGCCTTACTGTACAGCAACCGAGAAAGAAAGCAGAGGTGTTCAAGGGAGTCCTGTTGACACACCAAGAGAAGATGGGAGAGAAAGAAAGTGAGTTGTTTGTCATGGAAGAGGTTTATGAGGAAGGCACAGGTCAGAGCAGTGCGTACATAACAGCATGGGAGAGGATGGGGTCTGAGAGGGCTGATATTTTGGGCAGTCAAGAATGATGTGAACTAGCAAGTTCCAAAGCTCAAAATGCAACGGTGGTGAGAATCTTTTTTTTTTTTCTTTTTCTTTTTGCTATAGGGCATGTGTGTGCACTAGAGAACAATCATACCCCACGGGGCATAATCACACCATAATCCCTTCTCCATTCTTTTCTCAGGATTCTGAGTGTGTTTTTCAGGTGGCTGGGTTTGAACTGCACAGTTGGCCATGAGATCCGGCTGCCTTAACCACACACCTGATGGGCCTGGGAATCTCCCTCCATGAGCATGCTCCGTGCTTTCAAGTCCTCTTCCCATCTCTGCAGTAAGACCTGCAGGTAGAGCTCGTGCACAGTACACAATGAGAAATATACCCTTGTGCTACTGCTACACCCACTGAGCTTAAGATGAGCTGTTTGCTGTACACAGCCCAACTGCCCTTCCTTTTGGGAGCAATCCCTCTTCCACTCTGTGCAGTTTTATTAGGGCTGTCAGCTTCCCTTGACATAGAGGTGCCTGTGTGGCCCTGCTGGCCTGACCACCTCCTTGCCCAGGAACAGTCACTACCCAAAGAAGAGCTTCTTGGGGTTCTTCCAAGGGATTTATATAAATGCTGGGACTGTCATTTATTTGAGATCATGAGGGCGGACAGCAGTCCTCATTAAACTGGTATGTCCCGCACTTCAGGAGTGGTAAGAGCTCAAGCCATGGTAATCCAGTCTGTGATTAGAAAACTGGCGGTCCAGGCTCCACTGGTACATACACTATACATACACTATTGGGTAAACAAAAACACCAAGACACAATTATGGCAAAATATTTAATGCCTGTAGGTGTACCTCACCCTCACATTCCTACTGTGATTCGGCAGCCTCCACAAACTGTGTCAAACTAGCAGTATCAGAAAGACCATAGGTACTTCCTGAGCAGAAAACCTTCAAGGCCCCCATCCTCTTGACCTGGAAGTAATTACAGGTGAGGTCTTTCCACAGCATGCCTCGGGCCTCTCTGCTCTGGAGAAAAAGCCCCCAAGTCCTACGGGACTCCTGAGGTCTTCTGTTCTTCAGCAGCCTGGCGCCGGGAGCTGCGCTTCTGGAAATAGTGGTAGGCTCGGATGCTGCAGAGGTATCCCCCATATACTGTGAGAAGCATCATGGAGGTGGAGAAGGTCTTGTAGCCGATGTCGGCTAGCTGCTTGGCAGTCGGCATGTCGTCCCCTACAAAAACGCACTGGATAAGGCCTCATGCACCTAGCCCAGCTCCCTCTCTGGGCCCCTCCATAACTGTTGCATCCTGCTTAGTCTGTCTGCCCTGTATACCATACCAAATGGCCCCTAAATGTAGGCACATAAGGATACTTGGAGGTGTTGTTTGGGAGCTCTACAATTCTAAGGGGCAAATCAACTCTGCACACAAGATACAAAAGCACAGTGCGAACCAGGCGCACCTGAAGCACAGCTAACACCTGACCCTTCTTCCATGCTTCTAGGGAGAAGTGACTGGTACACACCACCCAGCACTGTGCTTAACTGGCACATAACTGTAAGCAAGCATCAGTGTTTCTGGCTAGCGGAGAACTCATGGAGGTAACCAGGGATTAAAACATTTGCAGTGAAATTACAAGTATACTCTCTGGGAAGACAGAACAGAAACCTTTCAGGCATTATCTAATTGGTTCTCCCATAAAAACAATCTTTTTCACTTTTTCTTTCTTTTTCTTTCGAGAGAGATTTTTGCTACAGGGAATATGTACTCGAGAGACAGAAAGCAAGAAATCACCCCCCAGGGGGAATGGTCACATCACAATCCCTTCACCATTCTTCTCTCAGGATCCTGGGCATGCACACATGCACCCAGTGTGAGTTTTGTTTTGTTTTTTTTTTTTTTTTAAATAATTATTTATTTATTTAATTCCACTTGCTATTATTATTATAATTATTATTTTTAATTTGACCAGAGACAGAGAAAGGGAAAGCGAGAAGCATGCCGCCAGGTCCGGGACTCAAACCGCAGTCAGCCATGTGGGAATCCAGCACCTTTAACCACCACGTCAGCTGCCGGGCCCCTCAGCATGAGTTTTAAGTCGCGCTGGGTCTGACACTCAAACCCTGGGAGACAGTGAGGGAGTCCATTCTAAGTTCCAAACCCAACACTAAGAACCTGTCCCAAGGCTAAAACTAAACTTACTGGGTCCCTAGCAAATTGTTAACTTCATCTGGATCAGATACATTACTTCAAATTTAACTGTGCCCTGGATATTCTGAGCTAGGGGACGAGAGAAAGTTTCACATGTGAATCCCTCATCCACAATGAAATATTCTTCAATTTGGGACAATTAATATTTTCTCAGGTTCCTTTCTGTTGAGGGAATTGAAATTAAGACTGAATATTAGTGAGAACAGATGTCCCTTCCTATTCTTTTGTTTTTAATTTGTGTATTTATTTCTTTTAAGAAAAGGGGAGGGGTGGGAACCAGCAGTTAGCGTAATGGCTATGTCGCTGGACTCCCATGTAGTCGACCGCAGTTCGTGTCCCGGACCTGGTGGCTTAAAACTCACGCCGGGTGCGTGTGCGTGCGTGCCCAAGATCCCGAGAGGAGAATGGAGGAGAAGGGATTGCGGTGTGACCATCCCCCCTGGGGGGTGATTTCTCGCTTTCTGTCTCTATGTCTCTCTCTGTCTGTCTAGCGAGTGCACGCGCCCTACAGTGAAAATCTCTAAAAAAAAAAAAAAAAAAGAAAGAAAAGGAGAGGGGGCCAGCAAGTCATGTGGTAGTTAAAGTTGCTGGACTCGCACATGGCCAACCACAGTTTGAGTCCCAGACCTGGCAGCTTTCTCACTTTCCCTTTCTGTCTGTCTCTCTCTGGTCAAATTTAAAAAAATAATAATAATGAATGGAATTAAATAAATAAATATTTTTTAAAAAAAGAAACACACAGTGACCTCGATAAGGTCCCCTCCTGCTGCAATCTCCTCCCTCTCCTTCCGTCTCGTCAGGATCTTATGTGTGCCCAGGGTGCAGGTCAACCCGGATCCAAATCCTATGCCTTCCCATATGATTCGTTTCATGTAGCAGCGCCCTGACATCTGTCACCACACTGGGCCAAAATGTTTCTTAAAATTCAAGAATTTGGGGGAACCAGCAGTTAGCGTAATGGCTATGTCGCTGGACGCCCACATAGTCGACCGCGGTTCGTGTCCCGGACCCGGTGGCTTAAAACTCACGCCGGGCGCGTGTACGTGCGTGCCCAAGATCCCGAGAGGAGAATGGAGAAGGGATTGCGGCGTGACCATCCCCCCTGGGGGGTGATTTCTCGCTTTCTGTCTCTATGTCTCTCTGTCTGTCTGGCGAGCGCACACGCCCTACAGTGAAAATCTCTCACAAAAAAAAAAAAAAAAAATTCAAGAATTTGGGCCAATAGGTGGTGTGGTGGCTGAGAAGCTGGACTCCTACATGGTCCACCATGGTTCGAGTCCTGGATCTGGCAGCTTGCTTTCTCTCACTTTCCCTCTGTCTCTGGACAAATTAAGTAATAATAAATAAAGTTGAGTAAATAATTCTAAAAAGAAAAAGTCAAGAATTTGGGCCTGGCTCTGTGGCACAGTGATTATATACTGTTCGAGAGAACCAGAATCTTGCGGACCAGCAGGTGGTGTGGTGGTTAAGGTGCTGGACACTCCCACGTGGCCAACCATGGTTAGAGTCCCGGACCTGATGGCTTGCTTTCTCACTCTCTCTCTCTGTATCTCTGTGTCTCTCTCTGGTCAATTAAAAGAAATTAATGAATAATTAAATAATTATTTTAAAAAAAGAAAAGCAGTATCTCATATAATGAATACAGTTCAAATCCTGAGTGCCCAGGATCTAACGCGCTGGAGGACTGGAACAAGGGGATGAGAGTGTGACCAAGCCCTGTAGAGGGCTCCCTGTCTCCTGCATGTGTGTATGATCTATCATGAATAAAGAAAAATAAAGATAAGAACTGATGTTTTTATGCGTTGCTGGTTAAGGGAATGGGAGTAATAGGGCAATAGTTTGAGATAAGATCAAGAACAAATTGTTTGTTTTGTTTATTAATAAGATTTGAGGGTTAGCCCCACAGTGCAGCAGCTAAGGGCTGTGCATAGAAAGTTGGATTTTACGACCAGCAGATGGTGTAATGGTTACGTTGCTAGACTCCCACTTAGTTGACCACAGTTCAAGTCCTGGACCCAGCAGCTTAAAACTCACGCTGGGCGCTCAAGTGCATACGTGCCCAAAATCTGAGGAGAATTGAGGAAAAGGGATTGCAGCTTGGCCATCCCTCCTTGGGGGTGATTTCTCAATTTGTCTCTCTGGTGACCACACACACCCTATAGCAAAAATCTCTCTCTCAGAAAAAAAAAAAAGCTGGACTCCCCATAGTCAACTGCAGTTTGGGTTCCAGCCCTAGAGGCACTGAGCAGTGTGTGCCCAAAATCCTGATGGGATGGACAGATGGAGGAAAAAGCATTCCACTGTGACCATGCTTCTTTAGGGGATTTTGGCTCCCTGTGGTGAGTGCATGTAGCAAAAGAAAAGAAAAAAGATTTGAGTATGTTTTACAATGAAAGAAGCAGGGTGGGCAGGATGGCCCAGGAAATAATGAAACTAGATGCCTAGGTAAAAGAATTAACTTCAGAAATGAAGGAAACCTTTGAGATTAGCAGAATACTTTCATCTGACATTTTCTCAGTAAAGCACAAAGTTGGGTCCCAGTTACAGAGTGATGGACTACAGCTTTCTTTCTTTCTTTTAAAGAATTATTTTTTATTTAACTTTATTTATTTATCCATTTTTATTTTTTGGAGAGGTTTTTGCTATAGGGCACATGCGCTCACCAGAAAGACAGAGAGACAGAGAGACAGAAATCACCCCCCAGGGGGATGGCCACACTGCAATCCCTTCTCCATTCTCCTCTCGGGATCTTGGGCATGCACGCACATGCGCCCGGCGTAAGTCCTGGGTCCAGGACTCAAACCGTGGTGGACTACATAGGAGTCCAGGGTAATAGCCATTACACCAACTGCTGGTCCCTATTTATCCATTTTAATTTGACCAGAGAGGGACAGAGCAAAAGACAGAAAGTGAGAAAGCAAGTCACCATATCCGGCACTCAAACCGTGGTCAGCCATATGGGAGTGTCCAGTGCCTTAACCGCCACACCACCTACTGGCCCCATAGACTACAGCTTTCTTAAAAAGAGTAAAAACAAGAGTAAAAACATTAAGAGGAATGTCATAGGAGTGTAATCTGCAAGTTACGTAGTTCTTTTCTTTTCTATTCTAAAGAATTATTTTAGGGACCAGCAGATGGTGTAATGGCTATGTCACTGGACTCCCGTGTCCCAGACAGCGGTTCAAGTCATGGATCCAGTGGCTTAAACTCCCACTGGGCGCGTGTGTGCGCAAAATCCCAAGAGGAGAGGAGAGGAGAAGGGACTGTGGCGTGACCATCCCCCCTGGGGGGTGATTTCTCACTTTCTCTTTCTGTCTCTCTCTTGTCTTTCTGGCGAGTGCACGTGCCCTATAACAAAAACCTCTCCCCCCAGAAAAAATTATTTTATCTGGGACCAGCTGGTGGCATGGTGGTTAAAGGCGCTGGATTCCCACACCGCCCCCAGTGGTTTGAGTCCTGGACCTGGCGGCTTGCTTCCTCCCTTTCTTTCTCTCTCTGGTTAAATTAAAAAATAATAATAAATGGAAATAAATAAATCTTTAAAAAGAAAGAATTATTTTATTTAACTTTCTTTCTTTTTAATTTGACCAGAGAGAGACAGAGCAAGCGCGAGGGAAAGTGAGAAAGCAAGCCACTAGGTCCAGGACTCTACAGACTGTTGGCCATGTGGGAGTCCAGCGCCCTTAACCACCCCACCACTTGCCAGCCCCGGTTCTTTTCTTCTCCTTTCTAAACCTCCAGGCTCAGCCTTGTCCCCCAGAAAATTCATCCCTGCAAACAGGTCTATCACCTTAGTTTAGATTCACTCATCTTTTACTGGGCACTTTAGACCACATGCTGCTGCTATGAAGGGCGCAGAAAAGAACAATGCTTCTGTTTCAAAGGCGCTTATACAGTCTGACCAGGATAAACTAAGTATCCTGTATTCTGTTAAACAAGGTAGAAGTGTGTGAGCAGAAGACGCATTGTATAAGGTCGGATAAAGGGTGGGGATTCGTGATAAGACAGCTGAAAGGGGTGGGAGTGGAGCAGTCTTTTTAGAAGGGTGGGCAGGATTTACACTAGCGGAGGGAGGTGAGGGCATTCTAGGAGTGAAGACAACAAGGTAAGCCTGGATAACCAATAAGCAAGACGGGAGACCGAAAAGCCACATGCCAGGGCGCAGGGGGCAATCAATAATACAAGGAAGGGACATTTGTAGTCAGAGCGTGGAAGTCCCACAAGACAGGATTCGAGGTTTGACGGGGTCCGCTCTGCGTTCCAGCAAGGCTGACCTACTGCTGCAAGCGGTTTGGGCAGGAATAAGTGCAGATCGAGGCTCGAGGTCTGCAAGGCAGCACACACGCGCGACCTCAAGGGCACCAAAACCTGAAGGCCGGGGGGTGGGAGGACGCAGTAAGCAGAGCCTGGCCCAGGTGGCCGCGCACTCGGGGGATCAGCAGCTCTGCTAGGCCCTAGGAGACGACGTACCTGGAGGCTGCAGCGCCCTCTCATCCAACCGAAGCCGCTGCAGGCAGCGTCTTAACGCCGCAGTCTGCGCAATTTCCTAGGCGGCGGAACGCAGCAACCGGGACACGTGAGGGTAGCGGCGCAGGAACCACCCTGGATGCCTCTGTTATTGGTGCGGGAAGCAACGTTTCTCCCTCCCACCCGCCCGGCTGAGCCTCTAGGACTTGTCTCGCGGCCCGCGAGAGGGAATCACGCGCCTGGACCAGCTCAACTCCGCCCACTAAGGCGGGAACCCGCACCCGCCGGCTGCTCTGGTGGTGGGCGGGTTTGCCCTTCCGGC